TCTTCCTCTCCCTCTGCTGCTCCCCCTGCTTGTGCTCTCTCTGTCAAATAAATAAATATTTTTTTAAAAAAAAAGGAGGGCATTTGTTATGAAGCACTAGATATTGTATGTAAATGATGAATCACTGAATTCTCCTTCTGAAACCAATATTCCACTATATGTTAACTAATATTTAAATAAAAATTTGAAAATAAAGTGAGCATTTCTTTAGACCCAGTAATTCTACTTTCATGAGATTAGTCATGTACGTCAAGATATAAGAACAAGGATATTCATCACAGCATAGCAACATGAAAAAACAAAAACTACTAAAAACAACAAACACCAATACAAAAATGGGCTAAATGAATTATGCTACATCCATATAAAATACCATGAAGTTGGAAAGAATGAGATAGATCTACATGAATTACTATGCATCTGCCTTAACTAAAGATAACAGTCTTAAGTGGGGGAGAAGGACAGGTCAATATATACAACATTATACCTTTTTATTCTTGACCTAAATTGGGATTCTGTAAACCAGCAAGAAAAGCATAATGTATGGATACTGCATTGGCAACCAACAGTGCCTATCACAGGTTATTTGATTCTGAAAACTAGCATTCTTTTGTTATCTCATACTGGGGAAAACAGAATTGTTGGATCCAACCAAAAAGCAAGTTGATCTTGCAAACTCCCATGGAAACATGACCTACGAGCCCCAGCCCTGGACTAAGACAGACACTGATACCTCTTCTGGAGAATCAGAGAGAAATCAGTTTTATTTCTTACTCTCCCTTCATCCCCAGCCACAAACACACACACACACATTAGAGGTCAGGGCCTTTATTTGATTCACCAGTATCTATCCCCAGCACTAAAAATAATGTCTGCTACACAAGTCATCTAAAATGAGTGAATTAATTAATTCCAAAGCCAATACCAGAGTAGACCCCATGTAGTACTTTCGGCAATCTTGCCTCTGTCATTCTGAGGGTTCTCGGTGAACTAACCCAGGGCCACTTTGCATTAATACCACCTCCAGAAACCTCATCAACTGAGACCTGGTAATTCGTTTATTATCTAATTAATTGTACACCTCCATCCCAATTCTTTACCCCAAACGCATAGACCGAGGAGATAAATGTACACTGTAATTTAAGCAATGCTACTCAAAGCACAATTCTGCAATGATATAAGGAGCTTGCAAGAATGTAAATCAATGACTATTTCCTTCATCTAAAAAGTCTTGCTACAGAGTCTTAGAGCATTGATGACTTACATTCTGGTAGAAACTTCTTTTCTCCTTTCATGGACCAGTAACAGATTGAGAACTGCTGATCATATGTTGAATACAGCTAATATAAAGCAGGGCCTAAAGTGCTCAAGTTCCACTACTTGAGGACCTTTCTTTGCACTAAACATTGCATTCTCCATCATATCTATTTCCCCACTGATGGAGGGACCTGAAGCAGTACAAGTATAGTGGTTAGGATAATGAAGACAGGAAAAAGAGGTGGGAGAGGGGGTGCCAAATTGTAAATTTGGCACATAGGAACTCAAAATAATTTATCAAACCATGGAAGTTAGTGATTAAATCGGTAGCAAATAAAATTGGCTGTGTTCCAGGCACCAATAACATAGTTAAAAACAGTAATTAAGCATGTGAAAATTATGTGCAATAGCTAATAGTCCTGTTCACTTTCAAAAATTCTGTAGTCTCAATTATCAGCCACTTTCCATTAGATCTGCAGCTTGACTAAACTCAGGAGTTCCACCCCTCGGTACCATGTCACTTAAAATCCAGTATCCGAACAAAAATCTGAAAATCACACTTTTTGAGTCTCTAGACTAACATTCCCATGAGCCAACGATCCATAAGTAAACACTATTTAAGTCTTCATTACAAAGCACGTAAGTTTCTCTTCAGGCAAGACTGAACTGCCAACTTCTCAAATCTTAATCCCTTCTACCCCAGAGGAAGAATAAAAACACACCAACAGAAGTTCATAGGAATTAGAGAAGGGAACTCCCATCCTTCCATAGCTTTGGTCTTCCTCTAAATATCACTGCAAAAGAAAACTTCACAATTAAAAAAACTTTTAATACAGGCAAAAACATATCCTGTAAGAATTCACAACCCTAACCTCACCTCACCTCCCCTCCCACCAAATAATACTGATATCTCTATTCTCTCTACTTTGGTTTCTCTGGACAGCCACCCCCTCTAAAAATCAAATAGATTCACTGACCTCCAAATCCTTGGCTTTTTTCCTTCAATATAGTCTATTTCTACAAACATAACTCCCAAATTCAACAATAAAAAAATTAAAACTTCATCTCTTCCCTGACTCCAACTCTAGCTATGTCCTATTCCATTCTCATGTTTCCCTAAGCAAAAACACCCATTACTGAATTTCTGCTCTTGTATGTGCCCTCTATCCTTTTTCTTTCACCGTGCTGCCTATACATTTTCTCCAAATACTTCTGATTTCTCCCAACGTTTATCATAACTATTTATCCTTCTTAATTCTATTTCTTTGTCACAGTTGGATCATAACATTTATATAAATCAGAATTATGTATAGATGGTCCTCTAACAGAAGTCATTTATAAATTCTATTGTTCTAAGTCCAAAATAATGATCAATAACAGTGTCTGTTGGTTTCAGGCAGAGCTGAAGCACATTCCTCACATGTAGCTTTGTTGATATCCGTAAAGTTAGTAAGCTGAAATTTTGTAAATAGAGGGGATTCTGTCCTTCCAAACACTTAGTATATTGCTATCTACATACCTGATAACAATGTTTTACATATCAGAGACATTCAATAAATACATCATTTGGTAGACAAGGAATTTTACAATGCCTTAAAACACAACACGTCTTCTTAAAAATCACAACCTTTGCCTTCAACTCAAGTGCCCTTTAATCTGAGTCCACATTTAAGAATACAGCTTGATGGGGCGCCTGGGTGGCTCAGTTGGTTAAGCGACTGCCTTCGGCTCAGGTCATGATCCTGGAGTCCTGGGATCGAGTCCCACATCGGGCTCCCTGCTCAGCGGGGAGTCTGCTTCTCCCTCTGACCCTCCTCCCTCTCGTGCTCTCTGTCTCTCATTCTCTCTCGCAAATAAATAAATAAAATCTTTAAAAAAAAAAAAAGAATACAGCTTGAAAAATCAGACCTATAAATATAGAGAACAAACTGATGGTTGCTGGGGCGGGTGGGGGGAAAATGGGCAAAATGGGCAAAAAGGAGTGAGAGATACAGGCTTCCAGTTATGAAATGAGTAAGTCATGGGAATAAAAAGCACAGCATAGGGAACAGAATCGATGATATAACAGCATTCTAAGGCGACAGCAGCTACACAGGTGGTTAGCATAACATACAGAGAGGTTCAACCACTATGTTGTATACCCGAAACTCACATAACATTATGTGTCAACTAGACTCCAATAAAAAAAAAATTTTTAAAGAATACAGCTTAAAGAAATGATCTTTAAAATAAGTACACACACAAAGATATTTACCACAGCACTTAGGTATTCAACGATAATTAATAAAATTATACCCATTAACTTGGAAAAATGTTACACAGCAATTTAAAATGACATTTATGTAAAATAGGGAATTTACATGGAAAATGTTTTGGTATAACATTAAATGTAAAAGCAAGGTCCCAAATTTTATCTACGGTATTACTGCAATTCATTTTAAAGCCATGCAGAGAAAAAAGACTAAAAGGAAATACACCAACGAGATTACAGGTAATTTTTTGTCTGTGCTTTCAAAATTCCTATAGTTCCTACAATTCCTTCAAATTTCTGTGCTCATATTACTTCTAAGATGAAAAGAAAATAAGTTTTACTATGAAATCCCAATATTTTCCTCAAATAAGAAGAAGATACAAACTATGTATACAAGGGTAATAAAATAGCTGTGTCTATACTCTGTATTTTGGATGTCTCCATTTAACAAATTTGTCCTTTGCTAATACTTAGGTCATTTTTTATAGTGGATAATGAAATTTTAACAGCACATCCAAATATGCCATTCAAATTTATTGCTGATAATCCACATCTCCAAATCACAACTATTCTCAATATGTTGAGCTTTCATTCTGTCTAAATAAGCTAACCACAAACCCAGAAGCAAAGCTAATTTGAAATCCTATTTTTCGTACTTGTGTGTTCTAAGAAAATCATTGGATTTCATGTATCTTCAAAGACACTCTAACAGGCTTTCTTAGTGGTGTATATTGGTGACTCAAAACCTGTACAATCAATGACTTTCCTGATGCCTTAACAATTTCTTCTGGTTTCTATTTGAACTCATTCCTTCCAGTTCTGTCCCTCAGTGCAACTGAGAGCAACTCTTCAGTCACTAAGACCCCATCAAACAGTGACCTTCTCTTTACATTACTGATGACTACATCTTACATAATGTGATTTTTATTTGATTATAGATGGTGCTAAGCAGTTCTGAGAGAACTCAACCTCTTAATATTACTGCCAATTATAAAACAAGTACATGAGACAAATATTAAATTCAGGAATTACTTCTTTTGCCACTATCTCATTTGAAAAAATCTTCTATTTACTGTGAACAAGCTTTTGGATGAAAGTAAAATCCCTTCAAACATTTTCTATCTTTGCTTCCTTTTGCCCCAGCCCCATGCCCAAGCACAAGCATCCAGGCCGTATCTTATCTCTTCCTGCACAGCATTGCAATCGGCTTTTTATAGCCAGAAACTCTCTGAATGCAAAGCACGACCTTGGCTACTAGCTTCCCCTGGTACTAGTTCGAAAGTTATTTATAACTTTAAAATTAGCATGAAAGCCTACATTTCTCATCATAACTACTCAAAACATTCCCAGATTATACAATAATGTAATGTGCTTTAATTCAGAAGGAAACCCCACATTTTAAGCCCACAATCTATAACTAAGGCAGAGCAATTCAACGCAGAAACAAGAATGTACTAAGTCCAGCTCTTCTCTTTACGGACTTGACTCTTACCTTTCTGTTGCTTTCTATAAAGTAAATGTTTTAAAAATTCGGCTCTTGTAGGGAATTTTCCAAAAAGAGTTTTGGGTGGGGCGGGGGAAGAGGACGACGACGACTTCTTAGTCAGAGTTACCAAGTACCAAATTAAGAGGCAGTGGTAGTGGGGCAGTCACTTTAGCTGAGCGTCATTCACCCAGGATAAGAAAGAAAGGGGAGGTTACAGACCAGGGTGGGTGGTATCTAATCCTGAACTGCTAGTCACTGACCTCACTGACAACTTGTTACTGAAAATACTTCAGTGAAAAAGGCCAGACACATAACTTTGCCTAGAGATCGACAAACATAGCTGTCGGGAATCTCTGAATAAGTTAGACTTGCATTTCTCTAGTCCCTTTCCAAAATAAGGACTTCTTTATATCTAACTAAAGCTGATGGCTAGAATTATGGAGAGTGAAAAAATGACAAAGCAGGGATAACAGGAGTCCAGGAAATCCACACATCAAAAGATCAATTATGTAAAATTCAGTGTCTTCAATACCACGGTGTGGTATTGTGTCACATGTGAGATAGTGTTTTTCTTCTGAAATCTTGACTGTTTCATACACCTGCCCCAGGTATCACATACTCTGCTCCCAGAATTTATGTAAAGCCACATAATTATCAGTAAGACATGTACAGTGAAGATTCACCAACAGCTCCACAGGTGAAAACATTGTTAAAGTTACCCAAAAAAGTCTTCAACAAAATTTCTTACTTCTGTGGCTGTTCTTTTTCACAGTTCTTCTTCTCTTTTTTTGATATCCTTTTCCTCGATGCCCTAACATTCACCAGAACAAATCTTGCATATCCCTGCCTTATGCTTTATCGTTTCATCAGTTCCTTGACTCCCCACTTGAACTCATTTCCTTACACATTTCCTTACACATTACCACTTCTGTAACTTTCTCCCAACAGCTTCTAAAACAACAGGTGGTAACTGTCCCTTAAAAAAGAACTACTCCACTGTATGTTAACTATACTGGAATTGAAATTTTTCTAATTATATACTTAATAAATAAATAAAAGAGCTACTCATTTGAGTTTGGGCATTCTTGTTCTTAAAAAGCTGAATTCATACTGTATGGTGACTAACATAACATAATTTAAAAAAAAGATGGATGTTAGAAGAAAAAAAGCTGATTTCAAAATAAAAAGAAGTCAAAAAATAATTAAAAAATAAAAATAAAGAGGAAGTGTTTGTGTATTAGCTCCACAGGCACTCTTAGAACAAGTATTAGGGAAATGAGAGAAAAGGCAGTGTCTGGGGACTGTCAGAGAGAATCAGCGATGAAAGGAGCTTAATTTTATATGATTTCTAGGGAAATCTGCAAATAACTGTATCTTTATGTAGCTTCCTTTAAAATGTGCATAACTGGCATTACATTTATCTGAAGATTCTTAGTTGCTGACATACTGTCCTCCCAGATTTTTTTTAAAGCAGCTTTTTTTCCCCTGGAGAATCTAGGAATAGCCTCTTTTCACACCGAAAACAAAGAGTAAGTTTTATGTCTCTCAATCCATCTTTTCTTGAATAAAGAATTCACTTGACACTTGCAAAATAGAAGTTTTTGTTTTAGAGCTTTAATAATGAATGTTTTCCAAACCCAGACTGTTGAACTGAACCCAAGATAAGATATCCAAATTCTATTATAAGCCACTCTGCCCCCACTGTAAAACCACAAATAAGTTACTTACCTGCTCTGTACCCCTCTTTTCCATCTGCAAAATGGAAATGAAAACCCCTATTCTTCCTATTTTTCAGGGAATAGGTGAATTAAATGGATAAAATCTGACATGCTTCAAATTAAACTGAACTTCTCATAGGTAAAATACAGATGCAATTACAATATTTGACGTTATCAAAACAATTGAATATTATAAATATCTGAAATGTAATTTTAAAGAATTCTATTTTTTTTTAATTGCCTCATAAAAAATGTAACCTCCCAGACAGGTCTCAGTTGAAGTATTTCCCACTATGGCCACAAGAGGTCCTTGTCCTAGCAATTCAAATCACATCAGATTTGATAGGCAGAGGCCCCACAAACCCCTATATTTCTATCAGTTGGCTGAGAAAAAAATACAGATCACCTATGTCAAGTTTCCATAGCTAACTATAGGGTAGCAGACAAAACCGGAGAAATCCGGCTTTCTCTGGGTGATCAGTGAAGCATGCTGAACACTAAATAGTTCCTGTAAACTACACAGCCACGGCGTTTTGCATCCTGGCCCCCTTCCAGGTTTTCACAGTAATTCCTTCTTGTAACCTTGCCCAGTCTTGTTCAGTATTTATTCTCCTTCCCTATTTACTTGTTTCCTTTCTTTATACTTTTCAAACTTTAAAATTTTGGCTCACATTCCTCTTGCAAGCAAACAAAGGTTAGGGGTAAAGGAGCTGGAAAAAAGGGGGAGAAGAGAGAGAATAAATCAGGGCAGTTGTAGCAATCGTCCTGAGGTAATCAAAAGTGTGTCTCTGGCCCCAGACAAAGTCACTCAACCACATGTACTGAGAAGCCCCTTGATGTGGAGCCCTATATTAGGAGCCAGCTAGAACATCAGAGGCACAGAAGGGAGGCCTCCAGAAAGAAAATAATTCTATCTCTATCAGCAACCCCTCTTGGAAAATAAGCCCTCCAGGATACAATCAGTTCTTCAACCAGAACAGAATACCTTTTCTTCTTTTCATTAAAATACCTTAAAGAATGAATGTAGCTTTTGCATGAACCGTGAGTCCATTTTATTCTATATATGATACCTCAAAAGTTTCAGGCAATTTCAGGTTGGGGCTTCAGAAAAATATGTGATTTTCTGAACAGCTGTAACACCTTTCCAAGAGGAGATTTAAAGCTAAGGATAATTTGTCTGTGGTAAATAAAATGATCTTATTCCAAAAATGTGATAAATAGTTCTGGCACTTTGTCAGGTCTTTTAGATGAAACTAAATGAATCTGCTCCTGTTTCAAAGGTCTTATACGCTGCAGCAAAAAAGATGTGTCCCAACTCTCCCTTCCCACCCACCCTGTAATTAGCTACTAGTCAACTCTCTTGCCTCACAGACAAAAAACAGAAGCCACCTGGGAAGATGCCCCATGCCTTCTCATCATCAAGTCTACAAAACCACCAGCACTGAGTCCCACCTTCTCCAGCTTCCCTCCTACTGCAATGTGAGCAGCACCCTTGCTCCTATCAAAGACTAATCTCTCCTCTTCTGCTCTGGATCCCTACCTCTCCCCCCTTCTCAAGGACTCTGCTCCTTCATTATCACTTCATGTACCACATTATCACCCTTTCTGTAATGATCGGCACAAAAATATGCCACAAGACCCCTAACATAAAAATATCCAACAAACAAAAGCGTTAGCTTCACCCTACAGCTCCTCCTAGTTTCTGCTACCTTCATCACAATACTTCCTAAATAAGCTGTTTACCCTCCCTACGCTTTTAACTATCATTCACTCCATAACCCATTTGTTTCCTTCACTGCCACGAGGGCCATTTTTAAGTCTACCACCAACTCCTGTGTGGCCAAATCCATACTGTCACCTCAGGGGTATCTCATCCAATCCCACAGCTTTAAAGGAGATCTATAATAAGATGTCAAGTGGGATTTTTCCTATTGTGCAGAATTGGCAACTAAGCTCAAAATAAAAGAAAATTAAGCCATCTATGTACACTGCATGCTAACGATTTTCCAATATTTGAGGACAGACACCTCATTCAGGGCTCACTAAGAAGCAGTTAAGAAAAGAGCTACATGCTCTTCCCTTCCTGTCTCCTCTCCTAGCCCTAACACTACAGAAAAAGTCAAGGGACTTGAAAAATTAGAGGAACAAGGCCAACTAAATCTCTCCTCTTGAAGATACCATAACAGAAGTGGTGAAAAAAAATCAATCTTGCCCCTTCCCATTTCCAAGTCCCTTGAGAAGACATCTGGTCAGTGCTGAAGGAAAAAGAGGAGATGAGATTTAAACTAGAATAAAGTGCAAGTTTTAAACTGGACCAAGCCGCCTTTTTTTTTTTAAGATTTTATTTATTTATATATCAGAGAGAGAGAGAGCTTAAGCAGGGGGAATGGCAGGCAGAGGGAGAAGCAGGCTCCCCGCTGAACAGGGAGCCCGATGCAGGACTCGATCCCAGGACCCCGGGATTGTGACCAGAGCCGAAGGCAGACACTTAACCTACTGAGCCACCCAGGCATCCCTAAGCCGCCTTTAAAGCACTGCACTAAGGGCAGGAAAATTATGGCGCTTACCCAATACGTCATTCAAGAATGAGAAAAGGAGATGCAATAGAGCAAAGGGACATGCAAAGACTGGAGAAGGCAAATTAGTTCACCGGATACACCAATCATACATCCATGCACTAATGAATTCCAAATTTGTATCCCCAACCTGGACCTCTCTCATGAGCCCCAGAGGCATACATCCAACTGCCTTCTCCGTGTGGATAGCTAATAGACATTTCAAATGTATCATATCCCAAAAAAAAGCTCTTGATTATGCCTCTCAAATCTACTTCTGTCATTCATATCCTAGTAACCGGTTTCATCACCTAAATGCTTAAGCCAAAACCTAGGAATCATCTTTCATCCATTTTTTTCCTCACAATCATCAAAAATTCCCACTAATCCTACTTCCAAAAGTTATCTTTAATACATCCACTTCTCCCTATCTTCTCTTCCCCAACTAAATTGAGGCATCTGCAATCTATTCTCCACAAAGCATCTAGATGATCTTTCAGAAGATAGCTCAGCTTATGTTATTCTTCTACTTAATATCATCCAATGCCTTCTTACTAGTAAAAAAAAAAAAAAAAACCCACATTCTTTAACAAATCTACAAGGCCCTCCATGATCTGGCTCCTGTCAACCTCTTCTACTTTGACTCACAGCACCCTCTCCCCTAGTTCATTGACTTCAATTATATTTTCTACCCATAAAATACCCAAGCTTACGCTCCTTAGGACTGTTGCACTTAACTGCTCCTCTGCCTGAAATCATTTCCTTCCAGCTTTTATATATCTGGCTCATTTTCATCCTTCACCTTCTCATGGAGGCATTACCTGATTACCTTATCTCACTGCCCCCACTCACTTAACACAACCTTGCATATTTGTTT